AGGAGTCTAGTGTTCCCAGCAAATGTGACCAAAGAGTAGATCAGAATGGCCAGCACACTATAGTTTGCGAAGTCCCACCCTATGCAATAGCATCTCTGTAAGAAAGGTTAGTATTGGATATCTCCCTGACACATAGATTGTTACAGCCAGGAAATGCTGAATCAGACTAGTGCACTGCTAACTATATGGAGATGCTAATTAATCCACAGAGGAGCATTTTTCCCACATACAGCCCCTGCCCTTAGGCCTGCCTGGAGGAGCACACTTCACATATGGAGGTGGCATTTGCTTCAGAATATTAAGTTGAAAATTACAGTTGCTGAGTATAAGAAATAGGCAAGAGTCCTTCCACTAAAATTAGCTGGTAAGAAAAAAGAGCCCATTTTCTTGTGACTTACAAGTGAACTAAACATACCTTAGCACTGATAAGAACTTTCCAGAGTAGAGACTCAATGTAATAATTGGTTCCTCCCACGACAATAGGAATTTTGTGTCGGGCAAATATATCTTCAATGTGAATATTAAGAAAGACATCACAATATTTAATTTCAGAAGAGAATCCTGACTCACTCAGAAAGGAGGGTATTAGCAAAAAACCACATTCACTTGGAACTGATACTAGTCTTCACTGTTTCCCATGAGTTCTCAGAATTATTTCCTATCAGTTCTGGAGGGACTTTCATAAACCAGAAACACAAATGACTGTAATTATTTCCAATTCTAGAACTTTCTAGGCCTTGCTGCTAAAATTCAAAGGTTGCTTGGTATTCCAATCAGCTTAATGAGCACAAGTCCAAGGACTCTCACAGACCAAGTGTCAGCTGCTCAGGAGCCACCAAGGTGACGTCTGACTTTGCTTTCTAAGGCAAAATACACATCGGTTCCGAGACGTGATTTAGACTCGGTCTTCCCATTATGTGGTAGTAGTGCACATTTCAGCCACTTGAGACTCCACTAGAAAAACTGAGAAGCACTGGTTCTAACGACAAACAGATTTCAATGACCAGTTCCAGTTCTTGGGCATGTTATTCAACCTGAGCTTCAGTTTTCTCACCTGTAAAAATCCCCATGAGTTCTTATGAGGATTAAATGTGACAACGAAAGTAAGTCCCCAATCACAATGCCTGAAATATCTTTTCAATTGTGTCAGCATTCAATTTATAATTTACTTTAGTCACTATTGTTTTTATGTCTCTGCTACTTTGAATTCTTTTCTTTAGAACTCTGTTGAACAGGTAATTATCTGCTTTAAGAAGGCTTTGCTTCTGAGAATAATTGATAAAAAGAGACTTTCAACCCAAACAAAGACTCATTTACACACTTCTTTCCCTTGCCAGCCAGTCAGAGTGCACAGACAAAGATGATCTCTTTTCTATTAGAAGCCCACTAACCTTTAAGAAGTTGGGGTGGGGTGGAAAGATGTTAGCAATCAAGGATCATATAGAAAAAACATGTGTTTTTTTAAAGATAAATTCTATATTGCCCTCCTTAAATTAAGTACAGGAAGTATACAATTACACAGTAGTTGTAATAAAACTTCAAATATATAATTAACAAAAGGAAAAAGGACAAGGAAAACAAAAAGGAAAGGCTAAAAACAGTGAGATAGCAGAAGTGGGGGAGAGTGGAAAAGAGGGAGGGAAATAGGTCGTAGGAGACATGGAGTGAAAAAGTTTAACTTGTTTGCACAAGCCATGAAACTACTGTGATCCTGGGCAAAACCCTCTGTCTGGGCCTCAGTATCTAGTACCTTCATCTGTCTAATCAAGAAGGCTGACTGGCCCTGACCAGTTTGGCTCAGTGGATAGAGCGTTGGCCTGTGGACTGGAGAGTCCCAGATTTGATTCCGGTCAAGGGCATGTACCTTGGTTGTGGACACATCCCCAGTAGGGGGTGTGCAGGAGGCAGCTGATGGATGTTTCTCTCTCATGGATGTTTCTAACTCTCTATCCCTCTCCCTTTCTCTCTGTAAAAAATCAATAAAATATATTTTAAAAAAAAGAAGGCTGACTGGCTACTTCTGAAGATACTTTCAATTTTGAACTCTGCTTGTAGGTTCTTACCTAAATTCACTACATCGCCAATCCTATAAATGACCTGATTAAATTAAATCATCCCTATTGTTGCTGCCCTTTGGAAATTTTAATTATCTCTCCATTTTCTTTAAGTTCTTCCTGAACAACCAAATTGTCCTATAGCAACAATGTACTTTGGTGATTTATTTTAATTTCCAAAGGGCTTTCATATAATTTATCTCATCTGATACAACTGCCTTGTAGAGCAGGTAGGGCAAGAATTATTATCCACATTTAAATCTCTGCCCTTTGAGAGGGAAAAAAAAAAAAATCTCATTATTTTTATTTGCATGGTCCTGATTAACAATAAGGACAAACCCTTTTTCATGTTTATCACCATTTCTATTTCTTCTTTGTGAATTAGTACTCATGACCTTTAATTTTTGTACTGATTCATAAGAGTTCTTCATATTTAAGTATATTAACATCTTACCTTTCCTGTGTTACAATATTTTCCCCCTGGTTTGTAGTCTGTTTTTTTTTTTTATTGTTTTTTTAAATATTCTTATTGAAAAAAATTTTTTATTGATTTCAGAGAGGAAGGGAGAGGGAGAGAGAGATAGAAACATCAATGATGAGAGCAAATCATTGATCGGCTGCCTCCTGCACACCGCCTACTGGGGATCGAGCCTGGAACCCAGGCATGTGCCCTTGACTGGAATCAAACCTGGGACCCTTCAGTCCGCAGGCTGACGCTCTATCCACTGAGCCAAACCGGCCAGGCTGTAGTGTGTTTTTTAATTTTATTTATGGTGGGCTGTTTTCCCCATTTAATACACACACACACACACACACTTCAGAGAGGAAGGGAGAGGGAGAGAGATAGAAACATCAACGAGAGAGAATCATTGATCAGCTGCCTCCCACACCCCTCCACTAGGGATCAAGCCTGAAACCCAGGCATGTGCCCTTGACCGGAATCGAACCGGGGACCCTTCAAGTCCACAGGCTGACGCCCTATCTACTAAGCCAAACCGGCTAGGGCTCCCCCTTTTTTTTTAATATATTTTTTATTGACTTTTTACAGAGAAGAAGGGAGAGGGACAGAGAGTCAGAAACATCGATGAGAGAAATCAATCAGCTGCCTCCTGCACACCCCCCACCGGGGATGCGCCCACAACCAAGGTACATGCCCTTGACCGGAATCGAACCTGGGACCCTTCAGTCCGCGGGCTAACGCTCTATCCACTGAGCCAAACCAGTTCGGCTCCCCTTTTTTTTTAAATTATAAAATATCCAATATATACACAAGAACATTTTGACATATGTGAATTATGAAGCCCAGTAATAAACAAATACTAATGAACCCAATGTAAGAAAAGGAATGTTAGTCATTCCTTTGAAGTTTCTGTGTATTCATTCCCATCTCAACCCCCAACTTCTCCTCTCTCTGAGGGAACCACTATCTTGAGTTATTTCAGGGAAAGGAAGGGTATTTGTTTTTCATCATTCCCTTGTTTCTCTCTACATTACTACTGATGTGTATATATTAACACATTAATATATAAAATACACAGTCAATATATAACAATATATAATTATGATCAGTTTTGTTTGCCTTTTAACCTTTATAATGGCATGAACATGTATATATCCTTCTATAATTTTCATATTTTATGTTGTTTTTGAGATTCTTCCACATTGATTGATGCATGTACCGATAATTTATTCATTTTCACTGCTGAAAAAGTAAACTTATATGAACAAAGCAAATGTTATACATTCTTCTGTAAGTAGGAATTACAGTGTTTATATGTTTTTGCTGCTTAGAGGAATGCTATTATAGAATGAAATCTACCACATATCTCTGGGTATACTTGTGACAAGGTTTCTCTAAGTAGATACCTAGGAGTTCTAGCTGATACACATTCTTGCCAATACAAATTCTTAATCCTTACATATTCAACTCTAACAATTTTCCTTTTCTGCCCAGCCGGTGTGGCTCAATGACTGAGCCTCAACCCATGAACCAGGTCATGGTTCAATTCCCAATCAGGGCACATGCCTGCGTTACAGGCTCAATCCCCCAGGAGGGGGCATGCAAGAGGCAGCCAATCAATGATTCTCTCTCATCATTGAT